TTTTGAGACAGGGTCTCACTATGTAGCCCAAGCTAGCCTTGAACTGGTAATCCTCCTGCCTCAGCCTCCTGAGTGCTGGGATTACAGGTGGGCACCGCCACGCTCTGCCTTATTATGGATTTGATATGTGCATATAATACAGCTTAATTCTTTTTATCTCCCCCTCCGCTCCTCTACCTTCTTTTCCCCCTCAATTCTCAGTCCCTTCCCATTTGCAAAAGGTCTGTCTCCTGGTTTCCTATTAGCTATCATTTATTTTTCTCTTTAATCTATTTATATTTTGGGTTTCTCACAGAACAGAAACCATGTGATATTTAAGGTTGTGTGCCTGATCCATTTCAGTTAACATTATGGTCTCAAGGTGCACCTGTTTTATTACAAATGACTCAAGTTTATCCTTTGTTCTGGCAGATTAGTACCTGACTGGGTATAAATAGCACATTTTCTTTATCCATGTATCTGCTGATGGACATATAGGACATTTCTAAGATTTATTATGAAATGTGCTGCTAGACCTGGCATGGTGGCGCATGCCTGTAATTCCAGCACTCGGGGGGCTGAGGCAGGAGGGTCATTGTGAGTTCGAGACCAGCCTGGGCTACAAAGTGAGCTCAAGGCCAGCCTGAACTGCATAGTGAGACCCTGTCTCAAAAACAAAACAAAAAAGAATTGTGCTGCTATAAGCATGGATATGTGTGGATCATTGTAATATGAGATCTTTAACTCTTCTGGAAAGATACCTGCAAGGAAAATAGCTGGATTGAACAGAATTTTTTAGTTTTAGTTTTCTAGTTTTAGTTTTTCTGAGGAGCTGATTTCCATAGTGGCTGGAGTAGTTTACATTCTCACCAATGATGCAGAAGGGTTCCTTTTTCCCTGGAGCCCCTTCAGCATTTGTTATATTTGATTTTTTATGATAACCATGCTTTCTGAGTAGGATGGAATCTCAGTGTTGTTTTAATTTGAATTCCTGTAATGTCCAGCGATGTTGAACATTTTTTCATGTATCCATTTGTACTTCTTCATTTGAGGTGTCCGTTTATTTCAGTAACCTATTGAGTCTTATTTTGGGGGCCCTATTTTTTTTTAATTCTTTATATATTATAGATATTCATCCTCTGTCCGAGGGTTAGCTGGCAATGCTTCCCCCAATTTTCAGGTTGTCTCTTTACTCTGTTGGTTGTTTCCTCTGCTGAGCAGAAGCTTTTTAATTTGATATGATCCCATTGGTAGCTATTTCTTGTGCAGTTGGGTTCTGTTCAGAAGGGCTTGCCCATGCTATCTCTTAAAAAGTTGTACCTCTTTTATCTTTTGGTAGGTTAACTGTTTCTGTCTTAATACTCAGATCTTTGATCCATTTTGATCTTAGGTTAGTACATGGTAAGATATATGGGTCTAGGTTCAGTCTTTTGCATGTGGTAGCCAGTTTTCCCAGCATCCTTTGTGAAAGAGGCCACCTTTCTTCCCAGTGCAAGTTCTTGGCCTCTCTGTCAAAGATGAGGTGGCTGAATGTGTTTGGAGTTGTTTCTGTATCCTCCGTTCTGTTCCACTGATCCACTTGTCTATTTTTGTGCAAGTACTGTGTGCTGTTTTAAATCACTGCACCTTCGTAATGTTACCTTATTTTTTAATTTTTTTGTACTGGGAATTGAACTCAGAATCTTGCGCTTGCCAGGCAGGCGCTTGTACCACTGAGCTATATCTCCGGCTGTAATGTTACTTTAAATCTGGGAT